TAAATAAGAGCTGGAATAGAAGGAATCTAGTGGAAGAAGTGGCCTCAGGCGCACAGACGGTTTGTGAAAACAGGATATGGGCCCGGATGCAAATGGATGTGGTGATTGACACATGTGCGTTTTCTTCTAATTGATTCTATTTTTTTATCTAAGTTTTTTTGTTTTTGTTTTTGTTTTTTTCAGTAGAGTAGGAAGCAAGGTCATCAGCTGAAAAGAGAAAAGAGTAAAAGGAAGATGGAAAAGAAAGATGTGTCAAATAGTCATCTAAAATGAGAGTAATAATCATCTGAAGTCATCTAGATGTAATCTAAATAGATGTAAGAATCAACTAAAAAGAAAAGAATAAACTAGCTTATACAAATGGAGATAATCTGTGTCTGGGTAGCCTAGCATAGTATTTAGCATGTTTTAGACACACTGACTTCAGGTTTGAGACTCTTTCGAGTATTCATGAATACAAATAAACTCCAGGAAATAATGAAACCAAGGAAGAATGGAAATATTCTTACTATTCTTGAAATTGTTTTCCCTACCCACCCCCCAAAAAAACTAATGCATTTCAAAAGGAAAAATTAACCAAACGCATCTTTTAAGATGCATCTAATAAGATAAAAGAGAAGGAAAAATTTACAAGGAAAGGGCAAAAGAACTTAAAAAAGAGAAGGAAGAAAAGGGAAGAGGCAGTAGATACTCTCTTTTTATAGGATCCAGAATGAAAACATAAGCACTAAGTACAATGTCATAAAGGAGAAAATTTCGAAAATCTACAAAAGAATGTAGCTGCAAGTACGTGGATTTAATAATATAGTCATATATACCATTAAGTGTTTTATTCTCGAGAATTAGGTGAAAATAATATAACACATTACTTTTTAACCATGCATTCTCTAAAATGTAACCATTTCTGATGGTGTCATTTACAATTATAAAAGCATTAAACTTGAAAAAATACATTTGATAGTACATCAACATGATCTGCTAGAACAGATGTCGTAATGTTTGATGATTTTTATACAGTCAGATGTTGTTACCACAAAGAAAAAAGAATCAAAAGTGACCTAACAGCATAGGGCATGGGAGTTCACAAACTCAAATGCCTAAAAGATTAAAACCAGTTAACAAAATAAGTGAAACAGGCTGAGTGTGAAGGCCATAGCAAGTTGCAGGGTTTGTGGTGAATGTGCAACCAAAGGGTACAGTCCCTACCAAAGAGTACAGTCTCTACCAAAGGGTACAGCTCCAATCTCTGTTCTCACATGCAAAGCATGTCATTTTTGCCAGATCATCTACTTCTTAAGAGATATTCTAGTTTTTATGTTAAAATTTTCAGTGTTTGAAATACTGGCAACTGATTCCAATTTATAAACAGTGCAACCATACAACACCTTTGTGGGAAGGAAGCACTGAGCTGTCTTGTGTCCTCTGCATCAGACACTTTTCCATTCTTTATAACTAAGGAACACTAGAAGGAAGGAGAGGTCAATGCTCCTCTTCTTGAGGAGCACTGAGAACATCAATATGGGATAGGAAAAAGAACTTTGTACTTAGTTTCAGAAAACCTTGGTATCTGGGTAGGCATTACTGGCTAGATGGTATCATTGAGTTTGTTAATTCATTTGTAAAATATACTTTTATGAACAATTCTATTTTCCGAGCTGTTGAGCAGTGAATTAGAAAGCACGTAAAAGGCACATCATAAACCATAAAGCTCTATATAATTAAATGGCTTTAAAAAGAGACGTAATACGGTGGTCTAAGAACATTTTATATATCTGTGTTTAGTAAGGTGCTCATGAAATGGGAATATAGATTACTTAGCTCTTAGAGTTCACTGAAACTATTAAAATTATAAAATTGTTTTCAAAAGTCAAGTACCATGTAACAACTTCAAGTATTCACTAGTATGGTCAAATACAAAAATGAATTGTATATAGTAACTGCTAAAATGTTAAGTACATTCTTAGCTTTCTTAAGATAATGAGCAATTTTTAATGTAGCTAGTTTGGAAAAAGGTTACTTCAGTTTCTCATTTATTTTTCCTACACTTTTAAGATATGTTTAAGTTCACAATGGCTTTATGACACAGTTTTTAACAGACCCTTATCTGTTTCCCACTGCTAAAGTTTCAGGTGGAGTCAGCTGGTTATGCAGAATAAAGAAGTGACTAGTAGCCAGATTCAGAAGTCAACTTAGGAAAGAGAAAGCAGTCCTACTGGTTATGATTTGTAAATTCAGAATTTATGCAAAAGAAGTTATTACTTCTTGATAGCTTTTGCTCTCTTTATCCTGGACCATTAAACCATGCATGATGTGAAGTCTAAGAAAGCATCAACACATATGCAGAACTATACTGGATAAAAATTCCCTAGCTGTTATTCTAAGAGATTCTTCATTTTTGGCTTTCATCAAACCATAACTGATCAAGCAACTCAATAATCTATTCCTTCTAGATTACTATGGAAGTGAGCTAAATATTGAGAACTTGAAAAATTTAAAAGGTTTCAAATTAAAGTTTTTAATTTAAAAGCACATTTCTGATAAGGTTTTAGGTAATATTTCCCTCCTACTTCCCTGGGTTTTCCAAACCCTGAATGATGTAACTTATAAAATATATTATTATATATTTTATATAATGCCATAAAATCAGTTCTCCTCCCAATAACGTAAGAGAACAGTTCTGATAGTCATTTTGTTCATAGATGCCATTATGGGATCTCTTAACACCTTTTAAGAAAATCTTGTAGAAATCAAAATCACTAGTATCATTTAAATATCTCCCCAAAAAATTACTGAAAAAGATTCTTTGAAACTTTAACAAAAAAGTAAATTGACTAGAGATAAAATACAAGGTTAAATAACTGTTAAGGAAGAAAGTAAAAGTGAAATTTCCAAGAAGTTCCTTATTTATCAGTATCTTTAACAGTCAAATCATTTGGAAATTTTGCTTGGAAATAACATGAAGACACAGTGATAGTTACAGTAGTGATTGTGGGTGCTGAAGACAGATAATCTGGGCTTGAATTCTAGTTTCTCTCACTTATTAGCTGTGAATTCAGGCAGGTCAGTCAACCTCTACGAACTTCTGTTCCCTCATTGTATAAAAGGGAGAATAATAATTTCAGAGTTATTGTAGGGATTAAGTGAAATAATTCATAATTTTCTTTCTATGCCATATAAATTCATCATGTAGCAAAATGCAGTGATAACAGCTAAGTAGCACAGAATTACCTAGTTCAGCTGGAAAGAAGGCATCATGACACCATTATATAGAGCAATGAATATTGCCACTTGAGATTGATTTTAAAGCAAGGGTTATTTTTGTTTCCTATACCATGAAATAATCTTTAAAAGATATATTTAACATGTTTTTAACATGTTTAAGCATGTTTAACATGTTTTTAACATGTTTTAAAAATAAAACACTATTTCACAAAGTTGTTTTAACTAAAGTAGATATACAAAAAATTGATAACTTAGAAGATAATTACGATTATATGGCAATTGTGGTGATGTGGAACTGCTTTAAGAAATTCTATTTGTGAATATATATTCCATATAAAAATTTCCTTAACAATTACAGTGCCTGTTTATAATGATTCAAATACCTTTAGGATTAATTCTTTGTAGATATGAATGCTGCATTCTACAAACCTATTAATTTGACTCCGAACCAGACTGTCTACTAAAAAATGTTATTGTGACATATAAGGGTAAATTATCTGATTTTTCATTTCAGATTGAGAACAATAACTGAAGGAAACCATTCAATCTAAAATCCTTCAAATTTGTTCACATTAGTATAAAAGTGTCCTAAACAAGAACATGTAAAATAAAGGTTATAACTAAAATTTAGTTGAGAAAGGGCCTCCCCGGTGGCGCAACGGTTGAGCGCTGGGTTGTGAAGCTGCCCGCGGCCTCTGCAGCGCCAGTTCGATCCCCGGCTGCTCCCCAGCCACTGGAGGAGGGTCCTGCATGGGGCGCAGACCTCTCCTGCCACCCGCTGCTCCCCTCAGCAGTGTACTTCGGTCCTTCTGCCTGCTCTGCTCCCCACTCTGACTCTGGTGAATTCTCTCACCCTCCCTCGCTTCTGACTGTACCCAGTGCTTGTATAAATAAATAAATCTTAAAAAAAAAAATTTAGTTGAGAAGGAAATGGATGCTATTTGTTCTTTAATACATATTTCCAAGGTAACAAAACCACCTATGTGACAGGATTTTCATATTCACATAAACTTTAAGTAATTTATACTCAGCTTTCCAAGGACAGTAGTTTTTTCTTATACTGTCTCGGTCTGAATTGTTTTGGACCACTTTCTCAAAACTAAACAATAATAAAGTTGGACACAAAAATATTAGAAATGTATTTACCTATTTGTGTATGGTCATCCTATATATTCTTAATTCTATAGAATTCTAAACATTACTTAATTACTTGAAAAGCACCTACATAAAGAACATTCCATAGGCAGACTGGTAAGACAGTATTTCTTAGATTAGCAGACCAGGTTAAAAATCACAGCAGAATTCCCAAAGACAAATTTATGTACTATCACTCCATCTAAAATTTAACTTAGGCTGAAAAAAAGTAATAGCATTGAATGTAATATTTTTAGCACATTGAACTTTCACTTAAATTTACTATTTCTTCCCATTACTCTGTCAATATTGGGTACTAAGGAAAGTCCACTAGTTAAAAATTCAGCTGATATGAACAGTTTTGCAAGATAAAATTCAATTTATTTTAATACCTAGTCTTGAGAGATACTCCTTTTTAAGCCTACTTCCTTTATTGGACTTTACTAGGAATCATCAGATTCAGTATTAAGAACATAGGTAACAGCATGGATAGCAACTTTCCAATTCATTAATTTCCATATAAAGTCAAATTAATTCCTGTAATATAAAGAAACCAAAGCTGTACTTCTTTTGTTAAATATGTCAGTGCTATACTAGGGGTGTAACTCCTTATAAAGAAAGCACGAATGTGGCATCAAACTTACTTTTCCAAAGAAGCCTTTGAAGAACTTCCTTTCCTGGAGGAACAGGGGGACAAGTCGAGCGCTATTATTGTATGGGCTAAATGTCCCAAGGTTTCACACCAATAAGCACAAACAGAAGTTGGGTAAGGGACAAAGTGAGACAAGGGGAAGGAGTGAGAGTTTTAAAGAGTTATCCATACCAGGAGTGACAAGGAAAAAGGAAGGGTGCATGAAAATGCAGGGAAACACACTGTATGGCCTAAGAATCCATAGGAAGAGTGAGAAGAAATCAGAACCTGTATCCATGCAGAGCAACTAATTAGTTTAGTATTCTTTATTTACTTTTAAAACAGAGATTATCCAAATTTGGCAGCAGAGAAAACTTTTAGGGCACACTGGCTTGACTTTATTTTACATTTATAATAGCAAGTAGTAAATGAAGACTGGTTTCATATCAATTTTCAGTTTAAAATTAGTAGTCAACTATGTGGGAGTCATCAATTAAAAACCAGTCGACATTCAAATGACTAGTTACACAAAAAAGGCAACACAAAAAATTAAATTATGAATATGCAACAAGGGTCCTTGTCAAACTTTTTCTTATTGAGTTCAAGATGTCAATGAGAGAATCCTTGCTTATGCATTAGGATTGATTTCTATGTATGTATGTGTGCATTAACCAATGCCATAATGATCAAGAGACAGTACAGATATATGCTATTCCAAAGACAGAATAAATCATCCATAAAGAACAGAGGCTAATCTTTCACTGAAGTTGAAAAAATCAAATACATTGAAGAACCAAACCACATCTGTGGACCACCACTGAAATTTAAGAAATAGGATGGTTTTTGTTTATTTTTCCTTTTTAAATGCTATTGTTTTAGGGCCTCCCTGGTGGTGAAGGTGGTTGAGCACAGCCCTGTGAAGCTGTCTGCAGCCTCTGCAGTGCCAGTTCGATCCCAGCTGGCTGCGGAGCAACCTATATGGCACAGCAGACCTCTCCTGTCTCGCCCCTCTTCTCCCTTCAACAGTGTATTTCAGTTGTTCTGCCTGTTCTGTTCCCATCTCTGTCTCCGGTAAATCCTCTCACCCTCCTGCACATCTGGCCTGTACCCCAGTTCTTATATAAATAAATCTTTTTTAAAAAAATGCAATTGTTTTAGAATAAAGAAACTTGCCCTGGCATTTGCTTAAGTAAACAATTCCAAAACTATGTAGATAGGAGAAATATAGATATCTCTGGTCCCAGTACCAATTTTTAAGAATATATAAACCTTGAAAATTGGTTACCATCTACAATCTGAAGAAGTCACATAAAGTAGATAGCTGCTAACTCACCTAAGCTAGCTTACCTTTACACTTCCTAGACTTGATAGGACTGTATTTTAAGCCTTTACTTTCTATAATCAGTTTTAATGTCGGACAAATGTCGAAAAAAGACAACTGTACTGAAATTTAACCTTCTCCACTTATAAACTCATCCAATATTCTCAAACGCTGAATAGTTTGTTTTCTCTCTGAATTTTGAAAATCACAACTGGAGCAAATAATTTGAGTTTTAGCTGAAAAATTAATAATTTGGGGTAGTTACTGCAATAAGAATAAGTTTATTTCTGCTGCCAAGTTTGGTGATCCTTTTTGTTAGACTGTGAGTACCATCAGCTTTTAAGGATGCAGCCAAAGTCAAAAGGTCCACAACTCTATAGGGATGTGGAGGTGAGGGAAGGAGATCTGTTAATATTGATTTAGCTCCCAGAAAAGCTCAAGTTAAAAAAGTTTGCCTTCTCTTATCGGAAAAACAAAACAAAACAAAAACCTCAGGTGTTAATGAAAAGAGTTCACGAGCAAAATGCATAAAAAGATAATTAGATTAGAGGATATTAATGTTTTTCATAAAAACAATTAAGTTATGATTCTTTTACCTGCTAAAACAAGAACAGATATTAAAACAAATATATCAAATAGTGAATAAAAAAACCAATATATTAGATATTGCTAGTGTAATGTGACTAGTCTAAAACCAAGACAGAGAGGGAGACATTTACAGAGAGAACAGGAAGAAAAGACCTTTAAAAAGGAAGGACATCCTGAACCAGTGTTAAGCAAGATAATCAAAGGCCTGATAAACTTTTTACAAAATGTAAAGATAAATAACATTCCTCCTCACCCTGCAACGCACTATGCCATAAAGGCACTGAAAATAGGCAATAGTTCTTTTACTCTATACAATCTCAGTACCAAAGTGGTTAACTTGTCAAATGAAGACACAGAGTAAATGGGTTGAAAATAGTTGTAACTTTATGCTAAAGGTAAAAAACTATTTAAACATAATTTATATTTATGTTTAAAGCCTCTTGTTTAATGATAATATATTTTCATTTGAGGTTATTAAGTATGTAGATCACTTCTAAGTGAAGTTAAAGTAATTCTAAATTATAAAGGACTACTTCTGGGATGGGGAGAATAACTAAACTTACACATTATCCTGCTTTCTCAAATATAAAAAGCAATAGAAATTTTGGGTCAAAGATCATTCAAGTGATAGTTAAGTTTAAGATGTTTGTTTTGTTACTAATTGGTAAATCTGAGCTATAGAATTAAAGTTTAAAACTGGCATTAAAATTAGTTCCACAGATAAACTATTTCTTTTTGAGTCTTCTGTATACTTGTACACTTTTACAATTATTTCCATTTATTTGAAAATCTAAGAAGTTTTGTAATCTATAAAAAGAAACAAAAAAATTCCAGGTTTTGGCACAGCATAAGCATCTGGCACAACAAATTATAGGAGTTTGCAAGGTGAATGTTGGTAAGGGGAGGGGAGGTTGTGGGGAGTGGGGAGTGAGAAAGCATCCAGAAATTTCTGTACAGTGAAAACATGAAGATAAAAATCATGAATTTTTGTGGACTACTATAATCTGAGAAGAATAACATCCTGACGACTTCCAGCTTTCTGCAGGCTTCTCATTATAGCATTAAAAAGGGCATCACTGAGTATATTAAACAAGAAATTCAGCCCAGTTACTCAAACATTCAATCTTATTTTTAGAAATACATGTTTGCCTATGCGAAATTACGTATTTGTTACAACTCTTCCAGATAGGATTTGTTTGAGAGATATTGAAGAACTTCTTGAATGAATAATTCAGAAGTGGTCAATTTTCTTTCAAAGTTCAAAAGTTTGTCTATAAAGGTAATCAACATACATAAAATTTCATTTTAGTTATAAAAGATAGGCAAAAAATGATCTATTAGAAATATGCAAAAAGGTTTCCATAAACCTTAAAATATTAAATATAAGGTTCTATGATGATTATTGTAAGATGCATTTTTGACCACACGTTAAGGACTGAATTGCTTTCATTTCAGAATATTTTCTAAATGGCTACCATGTTGAGGCTACCAGACACTGTTGAAGCATAAGAATAATTTTTTAAATGAGAATTTGGTTCCTATTTCAGGTAAAAATAAAAATTCATTTTATTATCTAAAAAGTTATGTACCTCAAACAATCATGCTTATGGTACATAACATTTTTGGTAAAAAAAGCTGAAAGGTAAAATAATTCACTCAACTAAGAAGTTAATTTTAATGCTCCAAGGCTAATAGTGGCTTTCTCTGGGATTACAAGAGATTCTGCTTTATTTATATACTGTTTTGTTCAATTGTACTTCATACAATGAAATATATATTACCCACATAATAAAAAGAAGTTTCTGAAAAAAAGTAGGTTAAAAAAAACCCTAGAAAGTTAAGGATTAACTTCACTAAACAATGAAAAACCATTTTTTAGTGAAAAAAGTAGATAAAACAAAAACTTAGAAGGTTAAGGATTAACTTCACTAAACAATGAAAAACCATTTTTCAGTATCTTCTGGGTAACCTTAACCATCCCGTTTTCCTTATTAAGAGAGTGAAAAGGAAGCCATACTCTGAATTAAAAGACTTCCTAAAGACTGGTTCTACAGTAACCTTCTAAGAGTAAATTTCATAAATTATAAGTCTTAACAACTGCTTATATCTTGTTTGAGATCTACCTAGTCTGTTCACTGATTTGTCCATTGTATTCATCATTGTTTTTGTCATGAGTAGTATTTTAATGTCACAAAATATTCCTTAATGAACTGAGGCTACCAGAGAGGTAGGAAAAAGGAAGGGGGGAGAGCAAAGAGAAGGAGGGAGCATAATGGACTGTGGTGGAGGACTATGTGTCCCTTGGTGGTTAGTGGGTGTGCTGTGGTAACATACATGTGACAAGTATATCTCTAAATCCTAGACAGTGTTGGAAACCAAAGTCACCTCCAAAAAAATTCTTTAACAACTGGCAGGGCAAATCATTGCATTACTTTTTAAGACATTCTTAAACTTACTCTTCCTGATAAACTTAGAATTATTTTGTTAAAGAAGAGATTGAATTTATATTTCTTGGAAAATTACGTTATCTGAGGTTTGTATTTTATTGGAGAATATATTCAATTGGTTATGGCAAATCAATAAATTATAGTTCATGTACCATAATACATGCACATACATACCCTTTACATTAATGATGATTAATTGGGACAGCACAGATGGACTAGGACTAGGAAGGGATTCAGTTAATCTAAGAATTTAAAACATAATGAAAAGAATTTAAATGACCAAAATCTGAGGTATGTGTATGTGTGTGTGTGTGTGTCTCTATACATTGCTGCTTTTTCCCCCAGTTTTTTGCATGCTAGACTCAGTTAATTTTTTTTCCTCCTTTCCTTTCTATAAGAGATTCAGGCCAGTTTTTCCAAAATAAAATCTACCTCTCTGAGTTGGTTGCTTCTTCAATTTTATATCTTTTATATTGAGGAATAATTATAGGTAAGGTCATACAGAATGTACCAAGAAGCAGAAAATTTTTAATTAAGCAAATCGAGGGCAGGGGGGAAGCACTCATTAGTTAGCCAAAATTGTGGCAGCCTGCCATATCAGCAAACCCAAAGCAACAAATATTTAATGTTGTTGAGGCAAGGGCATGCAATAATGCTTAAAGTTTCACAGCAAGGGGTGGGGAGGACACAAACTGGAGAGAAGGAAGATTGTGAAGAGGGCTGTCAGAGTTTATGAAACATTTTTCAAACCAACCCAATATATGATATTAACACCTTAATATCAACCTTTATGAACTCTAAACCCATTTTCTCCTTTTATTAAATATATAGGCATGTGCCTGGAATGTGTTCTATGGCACAAGAGGCAAAGTAAATATTATCTGTCCTGTAAAAGAGCTCTCCATTTCAAGTATGCTGAAGTTTGTGCAAAAGGCAAGGGAAATACCCCTCTGCTGATGTTAGAGGGGTGGGGTATACAGAAGGAAATTGGGGACAAAGAATCAAGAAAATAATGAGAAGTCCCCCCAAAATGTAAACATCACCAGCCATCAACACATATATTTCTACTTCTTTTTTTCCTATAAAGCTGTTTTCGTACAGTGTATTTAAAATCAGTACTTTATAACCCAGTCATTACAGGTTAAGGCACTAACATTAATGGTTTTATTATAGTGTTTTCAGAATATTCCTCATCTCTCTATAAGATTTCCTATTATTTGTTTTATATTGGTTCTGAACGATATATCTTTTAGATAATATCTGGGTTATATCAAAGAAGTAGGTCTTTATAATTTGTATCTTTGGATGAATAACATAAAATGTTCTTTACTAATAAGTCATAACTTTTGCCTTAAGATAGATACTACTCTTACAGGATAGTGGATTGCTAAAACTTGCTGAGCAGACAATCTTTCCAAAGAAAGTATTTACAGCCTATAGATCAACACTGACGACCACCAAATACATACAGCTTTCAGTCTTTTCACAGCATCTTCACAGATATGCATTCCTCTTGATTCATCAACTTCTACATGGCCAAGGTACTGTAGAAAGAAGAAAAAGTTAGGGCTATTGTTGCTTACTGGCTAGCTTCTAGATGGTAGATAGCAGGAGGTAGATGATAGGCACTAAATGTCACCAAATCTACTGAATTTGAAGCATAACAGCCTATGGTAGACATAGTTACTCTAAACATAGAAATAATCCAAAACCAAAATATGTATCTATATGTACATATATATGTATATGTACGTAAATGTATATTATAAAAACACAAATAACAGTTATTCAAAGACTAAAGAGATCACATACTCCTCTTACAGTAAACATGAGAGAGGGGCAAGAACTAAAATAAATTTTAAGAAAGCACTGCAACTGAGTTTTAAAAACCATATAATGTGAAGAGGTAAAAAATGAAAGGCATGGCCTTCCTGGTGGCACAAGGGGTTAAGTACCGCACTATGAAGCAATACGCAGCCTCTGTAGCACAAGTTGGATCCCCGGCCGGCCAGAGAGAAACCCACATGGAGAAGCAGACCTCTCTTGTCTCACTGGCTGCTCCCCTCAGCAGTGTGTGTTTCAGTCAGTCTGCCTGTTCTGTTCCCCACTCTCTCTGGTGAATCCTCTTACCCCCTGCATCTCTGGTGGTGCAAGGGGCTGCTCCCCTCAGCAGTGTGTTTCAGTCAGTCTGCCAGTTCGGTTCCCCACTCTGTCTCTGGTGAATCCTCTCACCCCCCCGAATCTCTGGCCTGTACCCCAGCTCTTACATGCATAAATAAATAAATCTTTAAAAAAAATGAAAGGCAGAAATTTAAAAGTTGAAAAACTATTTTAGGCAGAGAGAGTTTAACAAAAGTTTAGGTGTGGAATGGGATAACTATCAACAAGTATTCCTGTTTGGCTCAAATATGAGGTATATGCTGCTGGGGAATGTGAGTGTGGAAATGAGTTTGTACTTAGTCCTGGACAAAACAGCTAATAAAGATTTTTTTGCAATAAAGTAACATGATCCAAATTGTACCTTAGTATGGGCATAGTCTTGGGTGAGAAAAGCAAAAGGAATGGTGGCAATATTACAAAATTTTCTTTTAAAAGGAAATTCAGGGTTTGATCCTGGTTTAAATGGAGTAGACACATTCTACCCTGTGCCTCCCACTAAACGAAACCATAAAACCTGGGCAGAATACATGGAGGAACTATTTAAGATCACTGAAAAGTAAATATTACAAGATGAATTAGAGAAGAATATCAGAATTCACAGCATTTCTAAAGTGGCAGAACTCCCCTCTTCCTCTCCTCTTTGGCACTCCATCGTGACCTTAGCCCAGACAGATATCCAAAAGCAAATTCTGCAGCAAGCCCTGGGGAAGTCCCTAGCTCTGGCTCCAGAAGCAGGAAAGGGCTCCCAACGGTCAGAGAGCACAGAAACATCCCTGCCTTTTATTTATTTTTCTATATTCAGTCTTGATAGCTTTTTGTTTTGGGTTTTTAATAACTTAATTTTTATTTTTTTTAAAGATTTATTTATTTATGCATACAAGAGCTGCGGTACAGACCAAAGATGCAGGGGGTGAGAGGATTCACCAGAGACAGAGTGGGGAACCGAACAGGCAGACTGACTGAAACACACTGCTGAGGGGAGCAGCCCCTTGTGCCCCTTTAATAACTTTATACCTTTCATGGTTCTTTTCATAGCCTATTCAACTTATTTTACTACTTTAATTTTAGTAATGCATATTTTCCTAAACAGTCTTAGTTAATCTAAACTTGTGGATGTTTGCGTAAGTCATGAGTCAGTGACTGATTTCCTCACTTTGTTATCTCTAGTATTATATATCTTTGTTATCTTTCTTTTTTGTTGTTAAGGCTCATTTCTAGTACTACCCCCAAGTCACTAAATCTCTTTGTTCCATTTTATAGTAATAATAAAGTAAGAAAGTAGGGCTTTAATGATCTCTGAGTTAGTTACCTTTAGGTGCTGAGAAGTGAATACAGGTTTCAAAGTGTTTCCAAGGGACTTTTATAAACTTGATCAATGTGACAGGTTACATATGGGTATTTATGCAAGCAAAAAATAAAAGGGGGTGGGGAGAGGATTAATGGAAAGAGGAAAACAAAAATATCTCATTTATGGATTGACTCTTAGTTGCATAATCTATTTTAGAAATGTGGAGATAGAAATCAGCCTGTGTCTTATTAGACTATCAGAAGAACATGCCCATTGAAATAAACATTATTAATGAGGTCTCTTTTCTTCTCTGAGACACTATCTCACTGAAGGATTGCAGCAGATTTATGCTTTAATGGCTAAAATATTTGACTCTGCGACTTCTTTTGTCTGCTTGCCTTTTCCAAACTCCCTCTGAGTAAGAGACTTTTATTCACAAAAATGTACTTTAGAAAAACTAGTGTGTGGAATTTCATTTTTGGATGAATTAAGTCATTTTTCCTTTTCTTGAAAAAATTATTTAAAAAGTAGATCTCCTCACCCCCCTTTGGTAATATTACCCATGAGAAGAAATGCAGAGCTCTGATGTGAGAGGCTGTGGAGTCAGCAGTTCCCAGCATTAACACAAAGTGACATAATAACCATTAATTTATAAGAAGTTGTAAGGCATATTGTTAGAGAGACATAGCCTACATATATTGCAAATATAGGATACAGATGTGCAGAACATGATATCAAAATATTTTTGGGGTCTTTTCCCAAAGAGGAGTAGATAAATGAACCACAAATTTGGAGTACACAACTACATTTGAACAAATTTTATGACTAAAACATATATATTAAATCTAATCACATAAGCTGAAAATAAAGAGATCCAAAGCTTTAACCTTTCAGATGTGAGCCTGGGTGTCAAAAAGTTAAGTGACTTAGACAAGGTCTTGTAACTGTTTCTAGCACTAGAAGAAATGATTATTATGTGATATAATAGAGGTGTTGGCTAACACTACAATGATAATTATAATGCAATATAAATGTATCTAATCAATTTGTTGTACACCGTAAATGTACACAATGTTATATGTCAAAAATATGTATCTCAATTTTTTAATATATCTCAATTTTTTAAAAGTTACTTAGAATCATTTTAGATTAGTCTTAAATCCATTTTTTATATATATATACAGACTGTTTTTTGGCATACATCCAATTGCTCTGTGATTCAAGGAAAAGTTATACTATGATAAGAATTTTACCAAGAGTTGTTTACCATTTACAATCTAATAGTATTATCAGTCTATATTTGCAAAGTGATTCTATGCAAAGGTGTACTACGAGTGTAGTTATGTCCAAGCACATACACATTAGTATAATTGTATAAAAAATTAGCTTGGTTCTCCTTATATATTTCATTATTTAAAAATTTATACTTTTTAAATTTAGGATCATATAAAAACATTATATAACATTTATAGTAAAATGCAGGTGGTAGGTTTGATGGTATTAGGACTAAGCTACTTGATCTGATGCCTGATACTTAACCTGATCTCATCTCTACTTGTACCATCTGCTCCAAACACACTGGTTTCCTAGCTGTGTCTCCAACATACCAGGTGTTCTTCCCCAGAGCCTTTGAACTTGGTACTATGTACTGCATACAGTCTGCTTCCTCGGACACCTGAATGACTGCTTTCTTACTTTCTTTGGGTCTTTGCTAAAACTCACTTTTTCAGTAAGGGTTTCCCTGACCATCCTGTTTCAAATTTCACACCCCTCCTCCACCCCCAAGCTTCACACCTAGTTCCCTTTTGACTTACCAGGAACTTCATGCATGCACACGCACACACACACACAGGGTTGTGTGTGTATTAATATCCACTAGATTCTGTTTTGTATGCAGTAAACTTACTGCTTAGAACATTGCCCAGCACTTGGCAGGCACTCACTGAGATTCTTTTGAATATATGAACTACTATACACAGAGAAAAGAAAATGTAGCACATTACTTAGCATAGCTCTACCGTAAACAATATTAAGTGCCATAATAATGAAAACTTTTATAATAAACTCAAGACAAGAAAAGGGGATAACATACAACTGTAGGATGAATGCAAATGTTACTGATCTACATAATGTTAAAAAGAAAAGAACAGAAAATAAAATTTATTATTAAAAAAAAAAAAGAACAGTAAATAAAAGTCTGAAGTTAAGAGAGTAAGGGGCTTTTTAGCTTACATGGTGAGGAATCAAGATATACTATCTAAAATTAATGGAACAAAAAATTGTAAGAAAAATTTAAAATAATTCACAAAAAGTCTGGGTGTAGCGGGGAGAATGAGAAGATGGAAGGGCAGGAAATGTGGCTTAAGTCATCCCTTTTTATAGTGGGGAATCCATAATAAAAACAGGTAAATTAAGAACAGAGAGTAAAGTCACATTATCTAAAGAAGTCAAAACAGGGCCTCCCAGGTGGCGCAGTGGTTGAGCGCTGGGCTGCGAAGCTGCCCGCAGCCTCTGCAGCGCGGGTTCGATCCCTGCATGCCAGCGAGGGTCCCACATGGCGCGCAGACCTCTTCTGCTGCCCGCTGCTCCCCTCAGCAGTGTACTTCAGCCATTCTGCCTGTTCTGCTCCCTGCTCTGGCTCTGGTGAATTCTCTCACCCTCCCGCGCTTCTGACTGTACCCAATGCTTGTATGAATAAATAAATAAATCTTAAAAAAAAAAAAAGTCAAAACATTTATTACCAGTGGTAGAAGTAGAAATAAAAAGTTAAAAGAAATACTGGGGAGTGACATTAGGGGTAAGGAAGGCATTGTTTTTTAACCATAACCATCCAATACTTTGATGAAAACTTTTGAAAGTTTAAAGCATATTCAATACTGTTTTAATGAACTAATTTTTAATTCACATAAGTTATAAAAATATAGGGCTTGAGCCTCCCTGGTGGCACAAGGGGTTAAGATGCAACATATGAAGCTATCTGCAGCCACTGCAGCATGAGTTCGATCCCCAGCCAGGGAGCAACCCACATGGCACAGCAGATCTCTCCTGACTCGCCCACTGCTCTGCTCAGCAGTGTACTTTGGTCAATCTACCTGT